TTTTTTTTTTTTTTTTTTTTTTTTTTTGCCTTACGGACATTTTTTATCAGAGTTGAGTTTCTTATGATTAGGTCGTGGAACGTTTTGAGCCCAGCAGTTCCTTCCTCCAGCGTGTGCCGGCAACTAGAAGAAAAGGGCGAGGTTTTAAAGAACGGTTTTAAAAGTCCATACGGGTCGTTAAGTCCTCTTTTACTCATTGAGCTTTTGTTTGTCGTGTATATTTTTATTATACTACTCCTTACCACTCTATTTTGTTTCTGCTGTGTTTTTTATTCCGAAGACTTTTCTTGTACATAATGTGCCACTGTTCTCATGTATTCACAGAATATTGGTATTTGTTTGCATTAAAGTTTCAAAAAATGAATTTCAATGACTCTTACATTGCAAAGTTGTTGCTTTTGTTCACTGCTGTTAACGTGCCGAGAGGTTCAGGTTTGTGGAGGTGATATTAGTGGCAGCAGTCGGAAGTGATAGTGTTGGTGTTGCTTTGGCTGTAGGAAAAAATTTGAAGTTGAACTTTGGTGCTTGGGAGGGTGTGGATTCTGCTCTTTTGTTGTGGAAGACGGCAGGGTGTTGTGGTTAGCGGTTCTTGTTGGACAGTGTTGGTTTGGAGAGGTCACGTGTTGTTTTGGGTGAGATAGATATGGGGGTTGTGGTTCTGAGCGGTGCAGTGCTGAAGGTATGGTGTGGGAAGTCTTCCGAGGCTATATCAGGGAAGTTCCTGGGTTCAGAAGTTCAGGTTGGCAGGTGGTGATATGGCGGGAAATTGAAGTGCGAAAATCAAGGCGGAACAGTCAGTGAAATAAATGCTACTTACTGTTGGTGAATTAATGTGCGGAGTTCGAAGACTCGATTGTTTTTATGACAAGAAGTGATCTCTGAGCGGGATGAAGGAACGCAAAAGAGTGACTGTGGAGGAAAGAAGCAGCATTGTGGATCAGTCGTAATCAGATAATATGAAGAGAAGTCGAGCCCAAGCGTACAGATGGCAAATTTGGACGCTTTTAGCGACAGCGCGTCGCAGTTTGTTCGATTGCCAAGGTGCAGACCGAAACATTCCACATCAGCTCCGCTAATTTCAATGTTTACCAGTGAAAATTTATAGTTACTTTTTTTTGTCTTGGCAGAAGACTCATTTCAATTTTAAAAACGTTAAGTAATTCGACTGACGCTATTGTGTCATACAAAGTAAATGTTGTTTAAATCAAAGATTTTTTTATGATCTACAACACTGATTCGCTTCGATAACTTTCCCTTACATTCATTAAGCGTTTAATTAGTGTATTTGCCGCTTTAAACTTTGCCGATGCCATGTCACATATGTTATGTGTTTTTGTAAACCAGCCACCAAATATGTGCTAAGGATTTGACACCTTTTTTAGAGTGCAATTTTTAGTGTTATTTCCCCATGAGACAAAATCGCTCACCGAGTTGGTGCAAAAATTCTAGAAATTTCACTTTTCATTACCCATTATTTTTTTGGTCTCATCCGATTACCCTTAGTCTTATTTTTGTTTTATGGAACGCGTTTTCTACAGTTATCTTGTATACCCACTAGACTATCCTGACGTAAAAGACTTTGGAATTTTGTAGCATCATTATGATCGATTTGTTCACAATTGTTGGAAAAGGTGGTTTAGTGCTTTGGTATTTCCAGCAAAGCGGCCAGATGTTTGCTGATTCTATCAATGAATTAATTCGAGAGGTTATTATGCAGGTAGAGTGTAATTTATCAGTATTGGTAAATCTTCAAAAAGGATTTTCTAAAATCTTTATTTTTGCAAGCTTACCAGTTTACCTGT